GAATTTTCAAAATGCAAATTCCTTCTGAAGCATATGCAAGAATAAACCAAAAAATATAAATTAAAAAATAAGTCAGCTTACAATGTTTTTAAAATTACATAAAATTCTCAATAATTTATGATTTTAAGACACATTTATTTATGAAATATTACGAATTTGATACAAAATCCATTGTACGAAGCTGCAGTAAAAATGTGGGTAAGGACTGCATGGAAAAGATCTAACAGCGACATTCGGGCGTTAACTACGCAATATTTAATGCTTCATAAATTAATACTGTAAATAGAATAACATAAAATTTCTATCCAGATGGCAGATGCTCAAGAAATTTAAATCATGATATTAAAAGTATTCACGCTCAGCTTGAAATTCAATATTTTAAGTAAAACAATGGCAGCTATATACGGATGCATCAGCTTGATCACAGCTCACAAAATATAAACATTTTTATAAATTCACTATTATAGTCTGAAAGCGTTAACTTAAAAGGATTTGGTCATACAGAGATACACAGATACACCTAATTGACCACAGCTTACATAGGACAAAAATATTCTTTAATAACTACTTTTTTAAAAATATTTTTTAACAACTACTTTTTTAAACTATTTATCTTTTAATCACTTAACCAAAAAAGTTTGAATGAATTACATATAGACATCATGGAATCATCGAAAATAAAAACGAGGTGCTTCAAATTATTAGATTATCAAATACTTCATAATATCATAAGATTACATGGATTTAAAATTATAATATACCCTATTATTCCGAAATTTTTAAAATTCTTAGATTTATGATTAAAACACACATACACACACACACATGTACAGAAATAAAATTTGCGTACTGCAAGTCGAAATTGTAACACAAATCGAATTTAAGTATGACACAAATAGAAATTTAAAATCACATTTGAATAAAAGATTCATTAATGAATCAAAAGTACATTATGGATTTATAAATGCTATAGTTAAACTACAGCATGGATAAATAAATACTATAGTTTAACTACAGGATGGGAATTAAAGGAAAATTGATATTGCACAACTTACAATTCTCGAGAGTACATTCACTGATTGCTCATTTCAGATGAAAGCTGTAAATCATTATAGTAATTTATAATCGAAAGTGTCTTATCAAAAGTGTCCGTTTAGCAGAACCATTATATGTAAGATATACACAAAGGTTTAGTAACACTTCAAAAATAGTCAACACGGTTCGAGTAACATACATATGGCAGTCTACATAAAATGGCCAGGCTGCTGGCATATTAACATTTGTAAAAGAGACGGCAGTATGGTGACAAGGAAGAGCGTAGAAAAGGCAAAATGGAATACATAAATAATATTAAGATACAGTTGAGATGTACAAAAAAAAGTGTTTAGAGAAGCAGATGATAAAAAATCCTTTGATCATGGTGGTTTAAAAATGCGAGTCCTCTCAAAGCCGCATATAGTTATGTACAATAATGAAAAGCAGGAAGGGCGAGATTTTACCGGCATGTGCAAATGCGTCTTATTCTCTCAATATATTCATTTCAAGTACAAAAATGACGTCACAAAAAGTGCAATTGAGATTTCTTCTTCATTATATTTTAAGCAGACATTTTATTTTATTTTAAAGGAGATCAATAAGGAACAAGAACTGCTACAATTATGCAATTTCAGGTTCTCGGAAAGAAACATTAAATGCACTAATAAAGGAACATTAAGGTAATGTTAGTGGTTTCAACTAAGGAAACATGGCATCGAACTATTTACACGTGTACGAAACTATTCCACATTATCGACAGTTTGGTTAATTTCAAAACTATATCTAAGAACAATCCTACCCATACAGCATAACATTTATGATATTCTTCAAATCAGTTATTTCTACCTAACTTAAATTAATAAGAGGTAGAGATTATCTGCAGAGTTCAATAATCTTCGGATTAGTGAAACAAAACACTATAAAATGAGAAAAAAATTTCCAACATTTATTAGGGTAACTCAAATGCTACAACAGGGTTTTTTATATGTTGGCCAATACCCAGTTGTTCAACAGTCTTCCCCAGAAACACTATTTTCATACTGCTGTTCCAGTTTAACTTGTTCCAGTGTAACTTGTTATGATAATTTAAGTAGTATCATGTATTTTTACTGTACTTTTTACGTCTTACGAATGATAGTCATGCTGGGTGGGGGAGAAATTCTACAGATATGTATATGTACAGAGAAATGTGAATACAAATAATTGTAAAGAAAGCGTTTTCCCGAGCCAGAAACAAAAAATATTATTTAATATGAAGACAGATTTTAATAAGAATCTATTTTTTTTCGTTGCAACTTAAGTAAGATATATACGATTCTAAATCTCATACATTTTCCCCTAAACTTACAGTTATTTTAATATTTGAATTTATTTATGTCTGTGTTAGCGAGAGTTTATTATGACGGCTCAGTAATGCTTTAACCAATGTATAAAGAAAAGTAGAAGAATGTTTAAAAATGAATGTAATAAACTAGGTGTTTTAATACATATTTATGAAAAATATCTTTATTATTGTTTTAAATTAAACGTTCAAGGTCGATTATTTAAAAAATTCACAATTATGTATGCAATCAATTTAAAGGAAACATAAATCTCACCAAGATTTAGTTTCTCGCAATTGGTTAAAATAAACTTCCTGATTACACTTGTTACTTTGTTACCAGAAAAGCGCTTGCGAAAAACGTAGTCTACGGTACTTTACTTTTTTCGTTTTATAAGAAAATTTTCCGCCAATAATCTGATTGAAAAGAATTTTCAATTATAAATTTTGTAAGGGAAAAATCCACTATCATTGCACAGTGGAAACCAGATACAAATCATGTTCAATAGTATCTTTCTCGCAGGTTATACGCCATTCAAGATAAACAGGAAATGTTTAGTAATAGAACCCCATTTGCTTGCGCACTATAACACTGCTAAACATTTTAATGTGCCAAAAAACTACTGAACAACAAAATGTTTAGCTCTTAATAATAGTCAAACAAAAGCTTCTAACTGCTCTCTGCAATGCCACTTAAGGCAGGTGACATGAACAATACTTTCAAGGTAGACTAAAATACTCACCACATTTTATAAAATTTCAGTAGGAAGGTAAGAAAACACAGCTACAGATGGCTTATTTATTTAATTTCACAGCATACCGCTATTAAAAAAGACAGTTTTCATGAGCAATGATTAATAAAATTAGTTAGTGAAAGATCTATACCTAAGTATACATTGGACGGAAAAATAAATATAGTTATTTTACTTTAAAAGTGTCCTTAATTTATATTTATGCCTCACCACTAATCTATAATCTAAATTATTAAGCCAAATATAAATAAGTACGTCATGTTGAATAATAAGCATTACTAAGCATATTTAAATGTTACATATTTGTAATATGCATTACAATATGAATAGCATTATGCTAAATTCAGCGTGCGTCAGTGTGGGAAATCTAGGATTTACATAATTCGTATATTTCATGACTGTTCTTTACAGGAGTAATAAATGCGTCTCAAAACAGTTCTGATATTTTAATATTTTGATACGGAATTTACTTATTACACTTAAATTTATAGAAGAGTGTATCGCTGTGTTATGATTCACCCTTTGCATACAATGGACACAAAATACGATTTGCATAAGTTCTAAATCAAAGAAATTATATAAAAATGAACTAACTTCTATAGATTTAATTTGTTACGCAAAATGATTTTTAGAAACATTGGTAATACAAATGATTTGATCTGTTCTATTTTCCCCTTCATCTTGTTTGTGGATTTCCTTTTTTGGTACACAGGAATTGATCACAATAATAACTCTCAAATTATTAGTACAAGAATTCACATTACACATTTCAAAAACACACACCAGAGTGAAAGTATTCTAGTGAATAATCTTTTATGCTAAACAAATCGTAAAAAAATTTCAGAAATACGATTAGTAAATAAAGAAAAGAAAAAAAAAAAAAAAAAGAGTTGTACAAAAAATAACCGGTATAGATAATAAGACTATAATATTTTACAACAAGTAATTACGATATGAATGAACGAATAAAACATTACATTTTATTGAAAATAAGTATTTATAAACAGAAAGAAAAACATGTATGAAAATCCAATTCATAATAGAGATATAGTATGTGCTCCTTTAATTACAAAGGGAATGATTTTGCTAGACTGTTTATCACAAAGCATATCATAAACACGCAGAAAGATCAATGAAATTAAAAAACCAGAATAGAAATTATTTAAATAACAGCCAGTTCTGATATTCCCACATTTTTGTTTCTCTTTTTCCTATCTCCCTATTTTTATAGCAATACGCCATCATATTTTATTCATAAGTTTTCAGAAACCATCACGGTAATCTTAGTAGGGTATCCTGTTCATAAAAACTGTGCATGTTACTGATTTTATTCGCATTACGGATAAAATTCCTTGATGCATATTACACACGTAATCAGCCACGCCACATAATGAATATACGAAAAAGAGAAAAATAAAGAGTCTTATTTCAAAATATGAAGCCAATATACAATACAAAGTTCTCTTTCACTAAAGGTTTTGATGCATAGACTCGTAAATCGTATTAAAAATAACTTCGAATCAAGACTTGTAAAAGAATTCAGGACTTAATAGAAACACAATATTTACACAAAATAAAGTGGATTAAATGCTTTGTTAAAGTATATAGCTTATAAACTATTAAGTAATAAATAAATATCTGAAAGGGAGGACCCGAAGCATTAAACGTGTGTAAAAAAAGACTGTTTTCACTGAATACGAAGAAATTAAAAAAAAAAAAAAAAAAAAAAAAAAATCAGATGCGGACACCACATGACTTCCTCGAATGGCCTATTATACACATATTTTTGCTGCATTTCATTTAAACTTATATCCTCGAATTTCATTAGAGGTAAATTTCTCATTCTATTGATACAGTTCTCACTTCGCGGCAAAGCAAAAATACAGAAAAACTCAAAACATCTTCATTAAAAATTGTAAAATACAGACAAAACATAAAGCAGCAAATACATTTAAACAGTTTAAAAACAATTTACAATAAAAATTAGAGTTTCTATGCAAAAACAAGTAATTCGGCCAACGGGCGCAAAACTGATTTTTCGGTGCACGGCTACTCGTTCTTGAGTAGCCGTGAGTTATGCGAGATATATACATACGTAAGTACGTACATACAAACGTTAAGAAAAAAACTCTTCTGAGTCAGTTTTAAATCCATTTTACAATCCTTTTTGGAAAAACAGTCCATTATTCTGTCCGCACGTACAGATGTCTCGCAAAAACATCGTTCAAATAGTTTCGAAAGCGGTTGAAATGGATATTTTCGTAGAAATATGATACCCGATTACAATGCTTTTTTTACTTCGTACAAGAAGATAAAATTGAAAAAGTTGTTTGTAAAAAATACTGTGTGAGGAGAAATTAAAGAGAAACGAAAATATGACATTTGCAGAGAAGTAACGCGTTTTCGCCGAATATGAAAAATATAAAACAGAATGAAAAACCAGTCATTTTTAGAAAGGCAGCTTTTTTCTGCTGAATGTGAAGAAATCAAAACTCCACATATTTATTTTTTATTTAATTAAAGGAATCTTTGAATTAATTAATTATTATTCAATAACTTGAATGGTTTACCTAATTACTTGTATTATTCAACAGTTGTTGACTAATACACGTAATTAAGTGCATAGAGAAATATTTCCTTTCAGACAGATGATGGAGATAAAATAATTATGATATGTCGTAGTCTAGCAAAATCATATATTTAATGAAATAATGCGAATATATTCGCCATCATGGTTTATCAGTTGATAGACATAAATAGGTAATACAGCAAAAGACTTTCAGCGAAGTCTTCATATTTAATATTAAAAACATCTTAAAAATGTAACATTCACAATTTCCAACAATAATACTGCTGAATTAAATTAAGAAGCATAACCTTTTTTGCATGCTTCTGCAGCTTATGATATGAGAGGTTGACGGAAGTTTAACCATTAACACACGAAGTACAAAACGACAATTAACACGCATTTGGCATCTCTCATTATACAATCTAAATTTCATCAAAATGCCCTCAACAAGCACAAATAATTGAACATATTTGTTCGTAAGAAAAATAAATGTAAAAAAGATCTCTTCAGATACTGAAGTTAAAATCGCTTAGCGGTATGCACTACGAAACATTCTGGAAGGTACAAGGTCTTATGATTCCAAATGTTAAAAATATAAGTAATACTGATAGACCTTTGAGATATACTTTTCAATACAGAATACAAATGCTTCTTTCATTTAGTCTTTGTATAAAACAGATACATGGCCATGTAGTTGTGGACGATGTCTGCATTCCAGTGCTACAAATTTATGCTAAAAAAAGCGTTTTCCAAACTTGACTGCGGATACAATGGTACAGTTAAAACAGCTAAATTTAAATAAAGCAAGATATTAGAAAATTACCTTTGAAAGAGTTCATTTTATTAATTAAAATCCTTGAAAAATTACTATAAAGTAGGTTTGTAATTAACTTGGATACAGAATAAGAACTGGTGCGTTTTACAAATTTTCGGTAGAATGGTGAGCAATATTCTTGTTAAGCGTTAGCAGTTGACGAGTCAACTTTAATTTTCAGCTCTTAATATTATTAGAAGTATTGACAACAGATTTCCACGAGTCACCAACGCTCATCCTCAAAAGTTACTAGCAAATATCTCAGTTTTTAGTCGCAAAATACAAATCGGATTTATTTAATTCTACTCACAGAGATAAAGACATAAGCAATCTCTTTTGCAATAGTAATAAGTTAAATGAATTAACAGGTTTAATGCCAAAATTTCATGTTTTTTAAGCACTACAGATAAAAAATATCATTCATATGATTCCTTATACGTAACCACCTTTAAAGCGAGAAACACTACAGTTTAAAATGCAGTTTGGAAAACGCTAAAATAACGTTAAAAATAGCAAATCAACTTCAAAAAAGTATCACTGAAAGAGATAAAAAAATAACGAAATAAGTAAGAGTTTGGCACAAGTCATTAAGGTTCACGATTCTTATGATAAGCAGTTTGACATCACCCTCACTTCGTTTCTATAGATCCGGATGAAATTTCCGCATGCAGAACTCGAGAAATTTAATAAAAGCTGCCCTTGAATTCTGTTACGTTCAAGTGAATATTGAGACTTCCTGGACCAGACTACCAGTTATTTTTGTGAGAAACTTGTGTTTAAATTGGGAAAATTACTTTACATTCCGACGAAATGATAAATTAAAAACTATACATTACTGATACTCGCAGAAGATTAGTATGATATCATTAAACAGTTCTTTATGTTTAATAAAAATCAATATGCTTGCCATTAACGACCTATTAAATGTATATTTTTGTACAGTTGACTCAATATTTTACCCACGAGAAACGTACAAAAAATGTGGTAAAACATAAAAGAAAGGTGAATCACATACACGAACATATGTGCATTTCTTTGTTGATCTCCCACGGAATATTTTGGCATTGTTTCTCAAAACTAAAATCAATAGGTTTATCAAAAACTATGGCTACTTGTGTCCAGTCATTTGTTAAAAAAAGCCATTTTAAGTGCGATACACAAGTTCAAGCTCGCAAGTTTTTCAGACAACAGGCTTAATTTGTTAGCCTTTTTAACTCTCTTGGATGCTGAGCGTCTTTAGTTACATACATAGGATTCTCGAAAGTTGAAAATTTTCGACCAAATCGCATTCTAACGGGGTACTTTCGACGGTAGATGAATATAACAACAAGCAGAATTATTATGATCACAAGAGGAATACCAACTCCGGCGATAACGTAAACCATCATGAGGCTCAGCTTCAAGCCGGCGATATTAATTTCTTGGGAATATCCAGTATCGAGAGGTGGCAACTGCTCTTGGGGTTTGGTAGCATTGATGGGTTTCGTATCATAACCAGGATTCAGGTCATCATCATCTTCCTCCACAGATTTCTTGCCATTTTCTTTAGGTGGGACTACTTGCAACAAGTGTGGTTCAGACTTGGGCTGAAAATAAATATTTGAAAATTAACAACTCATGTTTTGTTTCTATCAAATATTTTCCGCCAATACACAGAAGATGATATTTTATTACCAGAATATAAGCTAAATGTATTGATAACTAAAAAATAAATTCAGCGCTATATATTTTCCCAGAACAATATAACTAATTGGTCAAGAAACGACTTTTGATATTAAAAACTGCGCCATATTATTGCACATATCCAGCTTCGAAACATAGTAACGAAATGACACTTTTCCTCAAAGAAAGGCAACAAATGGACATTTATGACTAGACAATCAATCAACACAATCGAATTAAAATTCAGATAAAGTAAAATTCGTCAAGTTATTGTTTACTAGGATTTAATGAAAAACATAAGTTTAGTAAGTATGTAACAAAGGTTTTACATGACCATCGCTGAAAGGAATATGTGAAGTCACTAGAACTGTAGAAACAGTAATTCAATGATCGTGTATTCGTGTAAAATCAGTGATACCTTCGCCGGAGCTCGAAATCCTGATCTTCCTATCATAGCTGACCGCACGCGCTTTCCAATTACAACACGAAAGCACACGTTAAGAATACCATAAAAATACATACCGTCAGTTTCTCAGATGTGCAGGATTTAACGGTTTTAAGAAAACGATGTAAATAAATTAGAAAAGCAAATTAAATTTACCTAGAAACAACTCCAAAATGATAAAATCTGAGATTTAAAGATTGAGCCAAGACCTATTGAAACATTAATATATAGTCTATCAAGTACTGAACTAGTCAAGCTCATATGTCAAATGTCAGAGAGAAATACCAGTATTTAGGTATAAAAGATATAAATAACCGATCTTTAAACAACGATAACTGGAATTTGTAGTTCACAAAAGAGTCTGGTTAATTCATTGGCTAAATCATCTCTTGCAGTCTTAAGATATTGACGGTGTTAAGTCTGAAAATATGACGGATTTATACTTTATTAGCCTCTAATTAACTCTTAAATTAAAATCTCTGATTTCTTGTTTGTTTTTCATGCTTTTATTTATAATTTATTCTGTAGTCTACAAGGCGAAGAAAGCAGTGTAAATGATGCTTTATGAGGAATTCAGGACATTCGTATGTTTTAGTAAGTTAAGTTTTAATAAGTTGTTCAGTAAATATTTAATATTAAACGACATAAGTTGCATAAAGGTTTATATTTCGAAGCATTTGCTATGTAATCGAAAACGGAAAGAAAGATTTCTCTGTCCTACTTTTATCATTAAAAGCAGCTGTACAATTTAACAACGCAGTATCACTTTCAACAGAGCATAAAAAATCAAGATTACATTACTACATGAAAAACTTTCTAATAAGAACTTGTGAATGTGAAGTGATGAATTTTCTGCGATAAAAGAGGTACATTGAATTAAGCAGTAATAATAAGTAGCATTCAGAAAAGATTGAAACTATGGGTAGATTACATTAAAATACCTTACGTTATTTTTTCAAAAATTAGACGTTTTTGAATAACGATTACTAAAGACCTTGAGTAATTTTTTCCTAAAATTATGACTATCCAGCTACAAGGAACAAGATATAACAATATTATTCCAGAACTTAGTCCTAATTAAACCTCACGTCTCATATCTATACTAAATAAAAATTAGACGGAGTTAGTTGTAAATTAACAGTGACAGGTGTTCTTAAACAGAATACATGTCAGATACAAGTTTTTAAATAAGACGGAAATAATTTAAATAATGGGGTTTAACTGCAACCTGAAGTAAAGTATTATTTTGTAAGCTAATAGGCAACTACTTGTGTTAAGTTCGTTACTTTCTGCAGATGGAATTTAATTCTTGTACATCAGCAGAGAAAGTGCGTGGGTTAAATCTTCCTCACATTAATTTATTATATTTGAATAACCATCATATCAATTTTTATAAGAAAAATTTCATAAAGTTGAAAGTAATTACTAGCTCTACCTATTTAACAAAATTTGCAATTAGTTGGTTAGCTTTTGATCCGTAATGAGAGAGAGGTATCACCTTTACAAAAAGCGATCCATTCATAACGGGGCTTCTTCATAAAGGTTTCAGCATTTATATGCAAATCGTCACTGCTGGACAAGATGTAAACTTTCACAAGACCCTTTTAAAGACCAGATTTTAAACATGAAGTAAGCAACCTTCATAATGGTGCTCCCTCTTTTATGCCGAAGTACCGCTTATACAAGTAATTGGTTTTAGTTTTCCACTTTAATTTAATAAAGCAAATGAAAATTAAGCTTGCATAGCGGTGCCAAAAGATAAAGGTTTCCGCACTCTCCCACATTCAGCTGCTTTCTTCACGCTCAAAACCGATCTTTATAAGGGTGCGGGTACATTTATGCAGGAGCAACCTTGTGAAGGTTTACATCTTGTATAACACAGACTTTCTTGCATAAAGGTGCTGGCGCGTTTATGAAGGAGCACCATTATAAAAGCTTTCCTACAGTATGTAACTAAGCAAGCATATATAAACGAACAATAAATTACTCACTGGTGCTTAACAGTATTTAAATTACACCAAATTAAAAAAAACTACACTTTAAATCTTTCGCAGTTTGTAGTTACAAACATAAGTACAATCTAGACTATAAGAGAAACACGCTAATGTGACAATCAAAATCGTAAAAAACAACCTTATATTTAGCGTAGGTATAATGAAACACTCAATCGATTTCGAGGGCAGCTAAAGGTCCCTCCTCATCAGGAGAAAGAAATACATAGAAAGAAGAAAATAGGAGAAGGAGTCACAGAAACACGTAGTGCTTATCAGCACTGCACGTGGTTATAACTAGATTTTTAATCAGAGTTGCACTGGCCGCCTACTTTTACTGAGCCAGGCTGTCTGATCAAGCATAAAGAAATATTAGCGAAGTTAAAATAGGGAGCGAGGGGCAAATGCACATTACGCTCAAAATCTGAACTTCAAATAATGGAAAGCAACCACTGAACGGATTTTTATACCCTCTGGTAGTACCAAGCGCGAGGAGGTAACGTCATCTATCGGCAAAAATAATTGAATTAAGATAGTAGAAAATGAATTAAGATATTAGAATTGAATTAAGATAGTAGACCTTTAGCTGCCCTCGAAATCGATTGAGTGTTTCATTATACCTACGCTAAATATAAGGTTGTTTTTTACGATTTTGATAAGTACAATCTGTCTGTAGCTATATATACTACAAACAGTCTTTACAGCTCTCTTATGAAAGGGTAATCAGCTGCCTGATTCTCCCAACTCTGATGATACAGAAGTTAACTTATACCCTCAATTATCAAAACTGCTGGTAATTCTGATATAGATACCTGTTCACTTCCAACTTTAACTAGGCAAATTCCGAAGTAATTGCTCAGAACGGTAATCTTTCAGTAACTTACTCGTAGCTCAAAATTGCTATACCTCCACATGTTTCCTGTTACCCTCGATTAATTTACTTTCTTACAAAAATTAGGAATGTGATTCAGAAAAAACGAGAAAAGGGAAAAGGCCATGGAGTTAATTAAGTTAGATATTGTTACGTTTTTTTCTCTGTCACCACGTTACGTACGTGGTTCGTGTGGATTTGGAGTGAATAACGACGACACTTGATGGAGTATCGAAATACACTTTATTTGCCAGTATTGTCAGGACAGCTCGAAAACACGTTTTACAGTCGTCGATGAACTACTATAAACACGCTGACACGATCAGCGACACAGCCTTCAGGTTATCAGGCTATCACGGTGGAGACAGCTTTACTGCAAAGCACCAGAGTAGCTCCCAACTCTGCTCGGTCGTTCTCGGAACTCCACGTACTCTCGAGACTCTCCACGCTACAACTCGCGTTGCACTCGAAGACACACAGAGTACGGCTCCCGACTCTTCGGTTCAGTCGTTCCCGGAGCACAACACGCTCTCTCGATGATGCACTAACCGCGATACACTAAGAGACTCCTTCGGTGAACTCGACAACCCACTCGGCACTCGCTGCCCGGCTGGCAACTCGGGGGAGGGAGGATCGACTCCGCAGGGATTGACTCGCTAGACGAGACTCCAACTCGATATTGACTAACTCTCCGCGTACCAGCAGGGTTTATATAGCTTTTGGCTGGTGTTCGAGAACATTCTGGGCTAAAACGGTAAGAATTCGTTCCAGAATGTTTTCCAACCGTCCGTGGAATATCGCCAAACGGGCGATTTCTCGCCAAATGTGGCAACCCTGCCTTCCCTTGCTATTTTATGGCAACCCTAAACCTGCTTTGCGGGATAGCTATCCCACCACGCCTGTGCATTTCATAACAATATTTCATCTTTAATACTAAGTCAGGCGATTCTTTTTTTAAATTAACTCTTTACACTGATTTAAAATAATTCTACTTTACGATGTGCTGAGTTACCAGTGTTAAATTTTACGTTATGAAACTATAACGAATGCCCAATTTTTTGTTTCAGCTAACTCTTTAAGGGAGCTGAGAGTTGACACTGCTTCAGAAATGTATTGTTTTTAAGTACAGTTGCAATACCAATATTTTAAAGGAAAAGACCTTTTGAAGTCTAAAACATTTAATGGTATTATAACACTTAGCATGTATGACAGTAGTTACCACTTGAACTTACGTGTTTTAGAAATAAAAACAGTTATCTATTTTAGAAGTGTTCTGAAATTTATTACAAATTAAATCCTTTTTTATTATCTCAGCAACGTTATTTATTGTGCCCAGTCTGTACATTATATGAAGACTACTAGGAACAAGAAAGCAAATTTTAAGAACCAAAAATTGTAAAATTAGCATGAATACAAGGGGAATTTCAGTATAAAAAGTAACAAAACTCACTTTAGCTTCAATATTTGCGCATCAAGTTACCTTTAGCTTCAATATTTGAGCATCAAGTTACTTAAAATTTAAATTTCAAACAGTCGCATTTACATTATTTTTTCTTTTTAAAACATCTTTCTGTTAATAACGGAATCAATGGTATTTATACTTCAGTACTTCCTTTC